AAATGCACTTTGCATTTTCTGATTTGTACTATAGAATCTAGAAAGATTGGGATGCTAAAAGCTTGTCTAAGACTGCAGGTTTTAACATGGTTTATGGTTTATAAACATAGAGTCTGAAAACTGAGATATTGTTCTGTATGGAGTAATTTAAGGGCATTGAGCTGCAGCTTCTGAAACGTCTGTGCTGCAGGCATTTTCAGGTATGGACCAAAGGAGCAAAGAAGAAAGAGGAATTTCGTTAAAATATTCTGGTGCTTAAGAGGTTGATGCAAACAAAGTCCCAAGATTCTCAATTATAATAGAATGGAGAAAGCCTCCTCATTTGGCTGGAGACCAAAAGGTTAGGAATTATGATAGATGCTCCTACAAAGCTGGATTTTGTTTTCTTGGACAGGTAAAAGTTACCCACTGGAGCCTGTTGCCTCTTGCAGGAATTTCCATTAAATTAGTTGCAGGGGGGGCAGTGTCTGCTGTAACACATTATGTCTAGCAATGTAAATGGGATCCTGAGAACTTGCAAAGATTTCTGATCTGTGGACAGTGATGGGTAAGCACTATCACACTTATGCAATACCCTGTATCGATATCTGAATAAGGATGTAGTACAAGATACAAGGGACAATATATATAATGCATTTCCTCTTGCACAATAATAATAATGCATTGTTTTATTTTTTAAATCAACAAAATATAGTGCAAAAAATCACATGCCCTTCATGCTGGGCAATTTATTAGGTGGTAGGTGGGGGACTTTAAATGGGACCAATGCAACCAATGAAGTCTAATCATGTCAAACCAATGACCAAATGAATATCGTTCTGATGAACGAAAATAAAATAGAAAATACGCACAGATAAGGCTACATAGAGAAGATCTAGATGTGATTTTGCTGATTAAGTCTGCTTGCTTCAGGGCAGGAGGCCATGTTCTTAAAATTGTCCCTGTAGGAATCAGTACAGCTAGACTGCTGTGTGGGAGCTAGGTGCTGAGAGACCATATTAGCCATGCAGACACTGAGAGATAAGAGATAATTGTAAAGAACCACTCCTGCTGTACTATTCGTCAAAATAATGAGCGATGCCTTAATGGGACTGAAATCCTCTGTGCACCTATCAATCAACGCTCAAAACATGTGAAGAATAAACTCTAGGTTTCAAATCGTGCCCTTCTTAAAGTCATTGAAATAACGTCAGCCAGAAAAATCTTCACATTATGGTGATGTACAGTAGTGTCTGAAGAAATATCGCCTTACTCTAACCAAAATCTAAAAATAAAAACAAACCTCTTGGGGGAAAAAATTAATTGAGCTCCAGCACATAACAGAATCTTATTTTAGAGAAAGCATTCCAGGGTACAGAAAAATACTGCCCTCGTCCATCCATCACTTCATTTAGGCTACCTCTTACTCGTAAAGTATAAAGAGCAGAGATGGCTGTTACCACAGATATTATATTAGATGATTGATATATTGTTCCCAATCTTTGCACTCTGTCTGTATTTCTGATAAAAGGTATATTATAGATTTACCTCTTATTTTCACCCTTTGCCATTTGAAAGTCTTCTGTACATTTTGCCCGATTGCGTTTTGATAAATCAACTTGACATGAGGTGACCCAGCAAGCTGCTACAGTACATAAGGAATGAATTGTGTTTTTTTTTCCAGAAGTCTCTTCCCTCTTTTTCAGTTGGTGAACAATTTATGGGATTTGGATCTTTTTCTCTGTCTTCATCAGCAAAGTGCTGTGTAATCTGGAGCGGAGAGTAAGGGTTCAAACTGGATTAGGAGTGCAACCGACTGCCGACAATGGGCGTATTATACTCAGCTTCCCAAGAGAATTCAAAGCAGATCATAATTGCTAATTGCCCTAGTGCCTGGAGAAAGAGATGAAGTTCCAGATCCTCTTAAATACAAGACAGACCATTTAAGCAAGGAATGACAAAAGAGACAAGAACAGAATATATAGGGCAATTGATCTCCAGCAGCAATTCACATCTGGCTGGTATGAAGTCAGTTCCCTTTGGAAATAAAATAATACATCAAATACTAAACTACAAATCCTGGTGTGCATTTTATTGGAAATAATGAATGGTACTGTTCTACATGATTTCCACCCTGAGGTGAACTGAGGTGACTATATATCACAGGCGGACTGAGGGGACACCAACTTAATGAAAAGCTCACACCACAGTAAGCTATGTATTGTGCACCTCAACACCAGCTGCAGGGGTGCCATTACTAACATGCTTTGTTCTTATCTGTAGAGTATTTTAAATGAAAATAGATCTAAAAGTGCCATTCAGGCTAGAGGATTGTTAAACTGGAAATTTAATTGGCTTTAAACTGGAAATGCAAGCATGAAAACCTTCCCCCAGTCAGTCACCTACTCCTGGAAATGAGCTCATCCATTTCAATTAGCAGGGCTTCAAACTGCACGGTCCTGGACAAGCGTACTACGGTGTAAGACACACAGAGACATTTGCGGCCTTCATCTGATACACGGGTTTCTCTTCATGCTTTGCGGTCCATGAAATGCCACAGTGCCCGAAGAGGTAGAAGGGGGCAGGGGAGGAGGAGGAGAAGGTTATGGTAGACCTGTAAGGCTCGTGTGAGCAATATGCTCCTGTTATGTTCGCGATTTCTAACAGGCGAACAAATGTCAGCCGTGGCTAAAAACAGCAGTGGTGGATTGTCTGGAAATTCTGCGGAACGCTCCAGGAAAGTTTGTGAGCATGATTCATCGTGCCACAGGCTTTTAAGATATTCACTGCTAATTAAATTATTTCAAAGAGCCAGCTGCCCTGAGAGAATGTACTTGTTAATAGGCTCCACCTTCAATCAAAATGGGCTTTGTGCCCTGACCCGTCTAAGATAGAAATCAAGAAGCAAGGCTGAACTGAACCCTACTGCCCTGTGGATTCCTTATGACTGCGTGATACTGCATCTCATCTGGTTTGACTGCTGATGGAATCCTAAATACATGAAAATAAACGAGCTAATTAGTCAAGGTATTTTTGTGGTCAGCTTTGAAAGATCTGAGACTCTGACTGTGTTTTTCAGATGTTTGTTTCAGGGCTTTTGTGATTCTGTAGGTTTGCTTAGTTCCCCCAGTTCACACTCCAACTGAAAGTGCCAGTGCTGTTGCTAATACAAAAGCTGGAATGTTTCGTTTCTTGAGCAAGCTAGGGACACTATAATTTTCCGCAGCGTGTGCATGCTTTGTGTACTCCATCCCCACTGGTCCAAATTGTTTTGCCTCAGACAATTGCACCACTCTTAGAGAGGTATAGCGGAAGGTCAGGTCTCTGGTTTGGCTGACCCATTGTTTCTTGCTGTGCTCATCCATTAAGATCTGCAGTTCTGCTTCCATAAGCAAACACAGCAATTAACGAGCCCCTTGTCTCCCCAGAGGTCAGGACCACATGTTGGATGTGAGCCAACTGCATACCTGGGCCCAACGAGGGTGACCATGTGGCATTCCAGCCCACCTTATCATCTGAAATGAAAATGAGCATATTTCCTCATTTAACATTGCCTTTGGGGCTGGGAGTCCACTTACAACAGTAATCCAAGCATCTTGTTCATGTTGCTATTCCCGCCAGTGCGTGTTTGATCAGATGAGGAAGATAGGTTTCAGATGCTATGTGCTCTATGTAGATTAGGCAAAGCAGACCTCCCTATCTACAGATCTGAGTAAGAGGGCTGATTGCACTGCAGTCCATATTGTGGAGTTTAGTGAAAGGTGCTGCATTTAAAATAGACGACCTTACCAATACGAATATCTTTACACACCGATATAATGAAAAGTAAAACAGTTAGATGTGTGGAATTAAAATGAAGGGTTTATGACACTATTATGAGATAGGGTAGTCCCAGTTGTCTGCACAAAAACATAATGGTCGATGATAGAAAGTCCATGAGGATTTAATGTATGACTTTTCAGTTAACAGCAACAGAAAAACAGTCCAACCCACATTGTGCATGTTTATATATACCCGAAAAAAGCCATATTTTCACCCACGTGGAACCTGTCACCAATAATCAGATAATTAAAACCCATATAATGACCCTAATAATATTCCCCCAAATTTGCTGTTTTCGATCCTTAAACCAAGTATAATCCAAACATATGTATTTCCTATAATTTGATAATTATTTTGTGATTAACTTTATCAGAAGCCTTCTGAAAATCTAAATAATACCATATTGTATGCTTTGTATGTCTCCATTATTGTTTTGTACAAAGAACTTTAACAAATTTTGGTATAACTGTAACAGTTTAGTTGTGTAAAAAAACTTTGGTCACCAAGGTAGAGTACATTAAGGATATTCCTGTTCTGGAATCAATCCAGTAAAGTACTGTACAACCAGATATATTCCTAGACTCAGAAGAATGTCCTACACTGATAGGATTAAAGAACTGGACCTTTTTAGTCTTGAAGAGAAAACTAGAAGGGGCCATGTATTCAGTCCTGTGGACCTCTTCAATCTGAATAGTGAAACACAAACCAGGTGACAGTAAGTGGAGACTATGTGGAAGTGTATTTACAAGGGAGAATAGGAGGCATGTCTTTACAAATAGCACGCCCATATTGTCCAAACTGGTGCTCTAGCTTCCTTCAGGACATGGCTGGGTAAGAACTTTGAGTCCGTTAGCCACTGGATAAAAAAAACAAATGGGTGAGATGGGGCAAACAGCCTCCTGTGTTAACAACTGTACTTATCTTCTAAATGTGAAAAAAGCTCTTCTGATTTGTTGTTTCCTGTCTAAAGGAGCTGTACACACACTGTAAGTGAGAATTATATCTGAATCATAGGATTAGTAGAAGCTGCCTGAAAGGACTTTGATAAGGGCCTGCACCCAGTTCCAAGCATGCTGATTAACTCTTATACTGCAGGCTGACTGCAAGATGACCTCCATATGCTTCAGAATGAAAACACGTGGGAGATGTGTGACCTGAGGAACTTGTGAGGTTTTATTTCTCTTCTTGTCTCTCTGCAGCGTCGACCGTGGGTGTGAGGAGCCCAGAGAGGACCTGCAACTGGGCGAAGACTATGAAGAGGAATATGATTGCCATGGCGAATATTACGAACGGGATTCTATTGGTCAAGAAGATTATAGGTAATCCAGGCCTGAGACTGAGACTAGGCCTGTACACTACTGATAAGGCAGCAAAGAAAACACTGCCCCTAGAAATGGTATATTCCTTCATGTCCTGGTCCTACATAGCACAGATCGTGTAGGCTTTACTGGCCTGTACAACACTCATTTCCAAAGATGTGAAATAATTTTGTTTAGCTTAAATAAAGCAAGTTAGTTTGGAAGACAGATTTGAATACCAGCCAGTGCTTAAGGACTACATTTCCCTTATTAGACATTACTTGTTTCGTTGATCAATAACTTGCAAGTGTACCTTATCAATAGCAACAGGGGCGCCGTATAAATGGCTGACCCTGCACTCTGACCCCAAGCTTCTCTCCCGTCTGTGTGTCTGTGTGTCTCATGGAGAGCAAGCTGGGGTATGCGGAAAGACAAATTCCTAATACAAGAAATTGTATATGGCCAAAAAAGTGTTCTTATCTTATCTTATCTTAGGAAAGTTGACCATTTGAAAGGATTGTGTTCAACACACAGTGACCTTGATATGATTGAGCTACAGTCAAGTGTATTGCATCTGTGATCATGATATTTCTATGAATGCTATGTTAAACATAAGCTATATTTTTAAGTAATGCGGTAATTTTAGGTAATTTCAAGTGTTGGAACATATTCAATAATTTAAAAAAATCCAGGTGAAAAATGTAAAGTTAAAAGTGAATGTTGTGTGTAAAAAGTCATTCTGGAAAATATCCCTTTGGGCCAGTAACTCTCTGTGTATGATTGTTACAGCTGCTTTGAATTTTTGCTTATTCTTGAGGTGTTCAGACTTCAGTTGTTTCTCCAGTAGGTAAAATGCACCTCTCAGTTGGATTTAAATATGGAGATTGGCTTGACCTACAGTAGTTAAAAGTTGCCTCTTTTCTCACCTAATGAAGTCATTGGTTGCATTGCCTGTATGTTTTGGGTCATTGTCATGCTGAGCCCCACTCAATAAGTATGGAGACATTTTCTTCTATATAAGCAGAGCAAATATTTCAGTAAACTTCAGAGTTCATTACCATATGCCTGGACTCAGCACCTGTGTTGTGTGACACATAGGCTGTACAGAGGTCAGAGACCATTGGTTTTGTCCTCCGTCAGAATGAAGAGGAAATGCAGTAGCTCTTCCTCTCCTCCCCCCAAGAAGAGGAAGAAGAAGAAATCTGGCCGCAGGAGAAGTCGGTATGTGTGGCTGTAAAGCAGTGTAGGCCCAAGGGAGGCTGTGGTGTGACGTGTGACTTGGGGAGAGGGTTGTGTCTACGTTTGTCTGGTTCGTCCAGCATGATTCTTCTCCTGTGGCACAGCACGAGCCTCCCTGCCCACAGAAGAGACCCAGGCTGTGCCAGCTGCACCTTCCTCTGCTGCTTGAAGCCAACAGGTGGCAGAGGGGAAATGGGCTTGCAGTAGGCATTGATGTCTCCGAGGGGAAAAAAAAAAACTTGGGTGGGATTTCAATAAGGCTTTCAGTGGTCTTTGCCCTGTGATTGCTGGTGTGTTAAAAAAACGAAATGATCGAAGGCAGATAGTTTGGGGGAATCTGCCTATTCCTCCTCGTTCTCCCCTGTGTGTGGTTGTGGGGTTTGTAGCTGCAAGCTGTGACATGAAAACTACAGCAAAATACAGCAAATACAGCTATTTCAAATCGGGTGGGTATAAAAACATAATTGATGAATTAACAATTTGATGTGTCTGTAAATTGTAAAATTGAATGCCCCCCGCCATTACCAAGTACTTAAAACAGAGGTCATGAGCACATAATGACTCTAGAAGTGAAAACATCAAGGATTTAAATAATTTATCTGAAGTACCAGCACTTAATACTACAGAAGCCAGGATGAATTCTGGCTCTGGTATAGACTTTACCTTTTTTACATAATAATGCCTGAAAAACAGAACAAGGCCTTATACTCTAACAATATAATTCATAGAGAAAGACCTTGTAATGTCATTTCATGGTAAAAGTTTTAAAACAAGCAATTTAACAGCCTTCCCAGGGCTCAGTGTAGGACATGTTCATAGTATTGGGCTTGTTTTCTCAAGGTACTTGTAATTCTGTCGTATAAATTTCTTAACAAACTGTGTCTGGAAAGGCTCGTTCTAAATTTGGTCTCTGGTCTGTTTCCAGTTTTGACAGCTCCTCTCCTCCCCGGAAAGAAAAGAAGAAGAAAAGTGGGAAGAAACACAAAAGAGATAGGTATTTATCCCAACTGCCAGACAGGAGTTCATCTTTTCAGCATTATTAGGGGCGCACAGGAAATGGAAACTGTCACAGCATGTGTTTTTTTTAGAATATGGGAAAGATAATGGATGAGAGGATAAAATCGGGCCTCGTTCCTGCTCAAGTCTAAGAGCAGAATTGGTAAGTGCTCCTGACACACATATAGAATCCATCTGCTGCCAGACTTTGGGATGGGAAATAACTGACAAAGACAGAACAGTAAATCAGAGGTGTTAGTGAGGACATTTACAGTTTTGTGGAAACCTACAGAAATTACATTAAGAATAAAAGGGCACCCAGTCCATGTTGCTCATTTGGTGACCAATAGCGTATTGATCCAATAATCATCCAATAATAGCTACTTGCTAATAGATCCCAGGGAATGTACTTCAGCAATATGACTGGGCAGTTTGTTCCACACCCCAACAACTCTTTATGTATAAAGAAGTGCTTCTATATGGTGCTAAACACTTAATACAAAATATTATATTTTTGTACAATAATGCTCTGTTTCCTTTTTCTAATTTAGTGTTAATGTAAGTAAAATATGACTTTGTAAAAGTATAGACGAATCAAATCCTTAAAACTGACAGGCTGTCGACCGATCTGGGCTCATTTGATGAGAGGCAGACAGCTGGGCAGTCTCTTGTCTCAGGGCTATTGCAGCCACTGACCTTCTCCCAGTGTCTCTTACTCACTAAATACATCATTTAGATCATATAAAAACTGAATTCACATCAATAATAAAACAAAGAAAGCTGCTGTTTGAAAACCTTCTTCAAAATAAAATACTGTGCAAGTCACCCCACACCTTGTTTTAAATATCCATGTACAGTAGGTTCTGAAAATTCTGCTATTCCAAAAAAAAATGTTCTTTTAGTATTCCTAGAGGGTTGGCAAGAACTTATCAGCTAAAGCTTTCGTGGACATAAAGGGCTAAATTTGGCTTTTAAAAAAATGAACTAAAAGGATTTGGGGCACCAATTATCTGAAAGGCATATTTCCCTCCATGGCGTCTGTGTTCATTATAATAACCGTGACACTGGAACATCTGTTACCTGAATAATACATTCCTTTTAGAAATCCATACATATTCAGTGGGTTGGTTTCTTTCAAAAATTAAATTTGTCCTTAGACTTGTTTTAGTCTGTGGTGAGTGTCTGGCCATTTCTGTGCCCTTGTGCAGGATTTGTAAGGAGTTTGTCCATTACCACCCAAAACGACCTCTAAAATGGGGAGTGTCTCATGAGGTTTTGTTCATGCGCAGCTCCTTTTTGGTGAGTTTACGGTAGGGCAGAATGGTGGTGTAGTAGTTCAAATTGCAGGGTTTAATTCCAGACCTGGGGTGCTGTTTGCGTGGAATTTGTATGTTCTCCCTGTGTTCATGTGGTCTTCCTCCGGGTGCCCTGGTTACCTCCCACAGTTCATTGATATACTGGTGGCTAAATTGGCCTATGGGAAAACTGGCACTTGTGTGAGCTTGTGTGTTTGTATCTGTGTTTGTGTCTGTGTGAGTCCTGTATAGGACTGGTGTCCCATCCAGGGTGTACCCTGCCACGCGCCCCGTTATCTGTCGGGACAGGCTCCGGCTCCCCCACAATCCTGAATTGAAAGAAACAGAAAAAATTGATGGATGTGTGGAATTTAGGGTGTCAGGTTCTTGAAGTACAAAAAGAGCGAAGAAGGCAGTAAAGTTGGCTTAGCATGCTCACACCGCAAGTGGGGAGAGATATTGCAATAACAGCTTGCAATTACAAAGACGTCATCGCTTTCCAAATACCAGGGGGAATGGGAACACATACCACTCCTTCCAATAACTGGGCCAGCAGGTGGCTTGTAAAATGATATCCTAGCAAAACCGCTGAGCCTCTTCTTTCTGTTTTTCCTCCTGGAGTTTCGGAGAGAAAGGTGCGCGGCACTGCAGATGTTGCGTTGCAGATGTCTGTGAAGGAGTAACACACGGGTGAGGGAGGGGAACAAGGCACAGAAGAAAGGTAACGCAAAGACACAGCCCTCCAAGGGGACAGACAAAAGAAGTGGAGCTGCTGCACACTTTGAAAAAAATTAATAATCCCAGCAAACTCTTCGGTGTGGCAGGAGGTACTGCAGTTTGAAATCTGAAAAAGGGTCTTGTTCTTGATTTCTTTGTTCTGTGCCATGATATAAATACCTAAAACAGACAAACAGCACCCTCCAGAGAAATAAAGATGATATGCCATTTCAAGTCTTTTTTTTTGCTCTTAGTAGGATTGCACACATGCTTTTTACCCCCAGACTGGTATGTCGATGACAAAAAAAATCAGAGGATTAAGAAAATTTCTCACACTCGGGATAAAATGTGCTAACTACAATTTGAATTTTCGCAACTCCCTTCTGACTCGCTTGTTACTTAGCATAGCAAGGCCCCATTTGTTATGAGAAAAACCATCACACAGGCTTTGAGGGTAATTGATGATGGTGCAGCTCCTTCTCATTCTTCAAAGATGGGGCGACACAGTGGTACAGTGGTTAGTTAGCATGGCTCCCTCGCAGTGCTGGGGCTCTGGGTTCTGTTCCTGGGGTGCGATCAGTGTGGAGTTTGTATGTTCTCCTGGGTTTCCTCAAGGTGCTCAAGGGTTTCTTCTCACAGTCCACGGACATACTTGTAGGTTAATTGGCTTTTGTATAATTGGCCCTGGTGTGAGCGTGTGCTGTGTGGTTCCGTCTGTGCCCTGCGATGGACTGGCGTCCTGTCCAAGGGGTATCCTGCCTTGCACCCACTACTTGTGGTTAGGCTCCTCCCACGATCCTGTACTGGTTATTAATGGATTCGAAGATGGATGGGTTTTAAAAGGTTGATAATGAGAGAGAGAGAAAAAGTTTAATAAAGACCTTAAAGGTTTGCCTAGATTCTTTTTTCCTGTAAATTAACAGGAATACTAGAAGGTATGATTATGATTCCTGAATGTAATGTCTTGATTCCAGGCTCTGCCTCCATGGATTTCTTGGCATTGTCAGCTTGCCCAGTGGAGGAGGCTGAGGAAGTGTTGGGATTCCTGGCAGCTAACATATTAATGACAATGAGTGAAGACTGATTTCTAAGACAATAACCCAGTATTCGTGTACAGTTCCAGTTATATCAGCACTTTCGCATCTGGCTTAATTTTTCTCTCTTCAATGGACGCCTACCCCTGTAGTGCTAACAGGTTTAAAAAACATCAGCTGGAGATGCTTTAAAACTGGACGGTGGAAATGTACAAGTATTTCCACTGCTCACAGCCTCAATTACTGTACCAGGTGTTTACATTTTTTTTTAGCATGACGAAGGTGTGTGGCTGTGTTGTACTGGGTGTGAACAGAGGCATGGCATTGTGTGATCAGTTTTTTTCACTCTCGCTGTAGGTCTGCTTCTGGATCCAGAAAAAAACGGAGGTACAGGTGAGTATCTGATGATACCTTCCATTGGCAGTTTGACCTGGACCAGCACCGATTTATTGTGTTGCCATCTTCCTGCACACAACCATTCTTACTGATGGCACATTTAAGATCATTTTCATTTTTTATTTAAATTGAGGTCTCTGAGGGGAGGAATGGTGGTGCAGTAGTTAGCACTGCTGCCTCAGAAAGCTCTGGGTTTTACTCCTGCGGTATTATCTTGGTGGAGTTTGTATGTCCTCCATTTGTTCATGCCACCATACTGGTATTTAAATTGACTTCTGGGAAACTTCTGGTGAGAGTATGTGCATGTCTGTGTGTCTCTGTGTTTTGTCCTGCAATGGATTGGCATCCCATCTAGGGTGTATACTTCCTTGTGCCCATTGCTTGCCAGGATAAACTCCAGATTCCCAGCTAAACTGGCAGTATAGATGCTGTACTGGATAAAGAGGTTTAGAAAAAGGATGAATAGCTCTAAGAAGTTGCTTACTAACTGTAAAAGGGGCTATGCATTTTTAACTCTGGTGTGATTTAGTTTATTCTTCACAGTGAAAGCCCTGGAAATTTAACATAATGTACTTAATGTTGTGTATCTACACTATATACACACATTAGTGTTTTGCTTTTTTGTCAAAATACTAATGTTGTGTCAGTGTAATACCATAACTGTTTGATTCAATATGTATACAATTAATACATATTGCGACTAATAACATTCTCTTTCTATATTCTATGCAGAGAAAGTTTTGTTTCTTCTTTATCTAGATGTTTTATAGAGGGATGTACCTTTATACCATAAAACTCAGTCGTGTTTTAGCAAGGAACGATTATAGCTTGTAGTCACCAATTAGAGATGTGTCGGGGGAAGAGTGCTTCGCTGTAATTTCTCTGTGAAGATGTCAAGCACCGTTTGTTTCAGAGACAACATCTAATTTATATTTAAACTTCTCAGATCTGGGAGCCCGAAGAACAAACACAAAGACAAGAACAAACAAAGGAAGAGGTAAGCTTTTCCTGAGGTCCTCTGCCTGCTAAAATCCCGTATGCCGCAGTGTAGGTGCAGGCTCTAGTGATGACAGGTCTTCTTGCTAATGAATTTGCTGGAGAGCAGGCAGGCTTGGTCAGGACTCCGAACCATCTGCTTGATTTCAGATCGCAGTCTGCTCAATATGTACATGAAAAGAAATACACTGTGCAAGATGCAGAATATACCTATTTCTTTGCTTATCTCTAAAATATACTGCCACATCTTACTTCTCCTTTTCTACAACCTTGAACTGCATTTTAATTTTAAAATATGCTGTTGTTTGTACACATAAATCAGAGGTAGAGAGTCATTCCTGTGCAGTCAGCTTGAATGGAGCAAAGCACGTCTTATACTGCGGACATGTAGTGCTAATGAAAGGGAGCTCAGCACTCCACAGTGAGCACTTTTGCACTGACCTTGTTAGAACACAACAGAAGGGGAGAAAATTCAAATGAAAATGTATCTGTTGTTCTTCAAAAACACCTTAAAAAGCACAATTTTAAATAAAGGAAGCACCCTTTCCCCCCTTTTCTAAGCCATATGTTTTGCCTGCAGTGGCTGAAGAGAGCAAGTCAGCACTTGTTTCGACCTCTAACGCCAGCTCCTCACTCATTATTCATGGGCCCCTGCGCTTATACTTGTTTGGAGAAAGCAGGAGGAGGAAAAGTGCAGTTCAGCTCTTTCTTTACCCCCCTGCAGAGGCAACTGCCCTTTTGCAAAGAAGCAGCCTGTGCCAACTCGGAGCCAGTGTGCGTGTCTGCAGCAGGCACAGTACAGTGTGCAGGCTGCAGTGGTGAATGAGCCTTCTCTGTGTTTCCAGGTCTCCCCCGGACTCTCCCAGCCGGAGGTCCTACCACAGAGGCAGCTGCTGCAGCTCTCGCAGTGCGTCTCTGTCCTCAACTGGCAGCTTGCTAAAGTCTCCTAGCAGGTAGGCCTTCTGGGCTTCTTGATGCCGCGTTTCAGTTTTCTCATTTATTGATGCGTTTTGTATGTTGGCCTCAGCCCACCACCTGGTGGTAAGTTCTCCTTCCTTAACTTTAACAAAATAAGCAGCAGCATTTTTGTCTTGCATCTCACCCATGGTGGGAGTTCGGCATTTGTGGTTTTAATATAACAAGTCTCTGTGGCAAACGTTTCCAAACTCCCCCAGGAGAGCCTTTTCTGTACCAGTATTAACTCCTGTTGTAGACCATCCACTGAGCTGAAAAAACCCAGCGCATGTTGTTAGCCCAGGAGAATAGTGCAATTCAGATACCTATAAAAGTAAGCAAACGGGAACATCAGCAATCCTGAAAGAACGCCTCTGATTTACAGTTTTCTAGGATTATGTCTGCACACGTGCTTGTGATGTAACATCCGCTCTGCTGGCTGCTATAGGCTCTTCTGTTCACATTTGGAGAAAAGCTCAAGTCTGTGTGGGAGTGAATGCCCGCTAAATAATTCTCCATTTATTTCCGGACGAGGAAGAATAAATGATTCTCACTTCTTGGAGGCTTAATTGCATGAAAATGTCACCACAAAACCTAAAGAAAGATGCGGCCAGCATTTTCAAGAGAGGGATGTCTCATGACCTGCAATGCCATGCTTTCAGAGAAAGGTGAAAGACAAGCGAAGGAGAGGAGTCTTCCAACTGCTTTGTCTCCGGCAGGACAAACTGTCAACACCGGGCGGACGGGCACAAGGTCTGCTGCTCCCCCTCCAGTCGCAGTGTGTCTCCTTCGCCAGGACACGCCAGTCCTTCCGCCTTGTGGCACAATGGGCACCGCGATGGCACCAAGAATGGCAAGGACAGCGAGGCGAACAACCCACCGGGAGAGAAATCGCAGGATGTACGTAGTCTCTTCTGTTTATCTTTTCCTTACTCTTGACTTCCATTCTCTTTTCCTGATTTTTCCAGGCCACTCTGCTGGCTCTGGACTCTGTGGTGGTAGCCTACGGGCAGCTTTGGGGTGGAAGCTTATGTCTGGTCTCCATTTCTTCACTGTCGCGTTATCTTTTCGAGCTGGTGTTAGAGCAGCACTGAAACAACAGACACTCAGCAAGGGTAATGATCTCTATCAAGCGCAAGGAGCTCAAAACGTGGCCCAGTCGTTGCTCAGAGCATGAGGAACATCATTTCCCTGACTTTTTGAAAGCTAAAAAAGCTAACTCGACACCTCCCATTGAATTCTCGGCTTCGTGTTTTGAAGAAGCAGCTCGTTTAACACTCAGCTCAGAATCCGTTTTTATTTTAAGTGAAGATGCGTGAGCGATGGTGGACTGTACCACATTCAAGAGTCCTTCCATTAGTGTTGCCCTTACCCTTCATCAGTTTCACAAGCTGATTTTTTAATGAATATTTGATCTGAACCTTTCTTTGAACTACACCAACATCAAAACTCCTGAGTTAAAATATTCCGATAGAGCAGAGCCCTTCAGAGTCGTGATGATTATGCAAACTCCTCAGAGATTTCCAGTTTCGGTGCTGTCGGCTTAGAGCACATTAATAGATCTCGGACTGCTGTAAAAAGTTTACACCCAATACGTTTGTGATTACCCCAAAATGTTTCTGATGCTTACTAACACCTACTGGAGCAATATCTTAAAAACTCAACTATATGAACAAACTGGGTAAAACACAAAATTACACTGGTTTATAGTTTCAGTTACATACTTTCAAAAAAATACAAGAGAAACTACAAAAGACACGTAGAAAAAAACACTTGGACCAGTATCTCAAAACAAAGACCAGTCTAGCAAAGTAGGAAGCTGTAAGTTGTCTGAGCCCAGTGTTGGAGGGCAGGTGTGTCTACGTGTTTTCTAGGTCTTTTTAAAGCAGTAGCACCTGAAGAACTGATAGAAGTGGTTTAATTGGTTGAATTAAAGCCAATGATGATTTAGCTGATTTAGTCCATTAGGAGCTGAGCTGGAATCAGAAATCTGTAAAAACCTCAGCTCTCCGAGATCTGGATTGGACAGCTCTGTTTTTGCGTGACCATTGTACACAGAACAGGTCAAACCTCACCTCACACATGGAGTCCATGATGGGGAAAAGGGGGACAATATGGAATACAGTGAAAGATTCCCTGAAAATTGTCGGCATCATGTAATTCTGGAACTGGCAGTGTAAAAATTTAACTACAGTTGAAGGATGAGGATGGCACAGAATCCTTAAATAGTCCATGATTTGGCAGGGTTTGACATAATTCGAAGAATCCATCTGTGCCTAATGCTATCCATTACCTTGACACATCAAGCATAGGGTGAAAGAAGTGCCATTTTGGCAGATTGAACCTTCTTTTAAAGAACTTTTAGGGAGAGAAGTGAAAGTTCATTGTATCTGGCAGCTTATGCCATGAAAGAGTCAAGTCAAGTTCCATCAGTGTTGGACCAAGAATAACCCAAAGACAGTGTGTGCTCTGTCCAAAAGTCAGGAAGCATCATGGGCAGGGATGGGAGAGGTCACCAGCCAGTGACTGGCAGTGATCTGTCCCACAATGCCAAGATTGTACGGTGAGTTGCAGTGGGAGGGCTCCAGATTTTTCATCCCTGCAGTCCCAAACTGGAACCCCCCTGCACAGGACTGCTGCTCTGAGAGCAGAGGAGATTGGCAGCACACCTCATCAAATGGGGCTGGTGCTGTAGCTCAGCGTGTCCCCTTTCATACAGAGTTACCCCTTTGTTTGCAGCGTGTCACATTTTCCTGTGTTCTGCCACTGGCAGACTTGATGTCCCTGATATTTCTTAACGTGGTTGGCCATTCCAATTGCAATCATTATCCTGTTTTCCTATAGTCGGGTGACAATAGGAATTCTCTGCCGTTCTGTACCCTCTTACACTGCAAACCATCTACAGTGGTCTCTCCTGTTATGGTCATGAACAGCATTTCCCTAAGAATATTTAGAGGCCGTGGGGGTCTTCTGCTTCTTCTTGTTTAAATTGTTGAGCATTAATAAACAAACTGCTGACCGTGTGATGTTCTTTACTTCATTGTCACATGTCTGGAACTACTTCCCAGCTCACAGTAAGTGGAGAAATTTAATACTAAGCTCCCTGGTATCGTATTGTAATGTATGTCGACTCGAGAGGTGGCTCTCCAAGCTGTTTCAAGCTGGTTTAATATATTTTGGGGGAATAAAAACTATGAAAATACTGAGGTATTCGATTTCTGTGTTGTTGCTTTTTTTGTGTTTTGCAACACTTAGAAGGGCCAGCCTACTGTTTATTCAAAATCGATTATTTGGATGCAAGTAACAAAAATTGCAAAAAGAAACATTTAAAAGATATATAATGCAGTATGCGCTAGTGTTTTTTTTTTCAAGTTTCATCAAGGTGCATGTTTATAAGGAGTGTCATTGGGTTTTTTTATTTTCCTTTTTCATTCATTATTTATTTGATTACTATTGGTTTTTAGTTGTATGATCAATAAATACCCCCTTATTTTCTGTCTTGTTTATGTAAAAAGCACTCATATATTTTGGAACTGGAACAAGTAGGTTAATGGGTATGTGTACTAGATTTCCTTCAAACACCGATGTCTGTAAGATGACAAATCTGTGCTACACAGTAATAGCTTCCTACTTAGCTGGATAAATGAAAGCCAAACCCATCGTCAAGTACACTTGTGAACCCCATTTCGCACTTCTGGGTTCTAACCTGCATGTGTCCACTAGGGGGCAGTAATATTTCTGTCCACTTGTCTCGTGGTGTTGGTAAAATATCGACAAACAAATGTTGCCATTACTATACACACAATTTTCAGCACCTTGGTTTTACAATGTTTGTAGCTGTGTGTTCAATATGGATCATTAGGTGCATCGCAATCCAATCTTTCCACTGCTACATAACTTAATAATGGCCATTAACACATTTATCTGGGGCCTATTTTCTTTAAATCTTTATCAGTCTTTATTTATTTGTTTGCCTGTCATTCTTTAACAGTTATCATTAGAATTTTTGTCTTTAGACTGCATACATGAGTAGAGTGTAAAAACCAAATACCCAGCAATATCTGTGACTAAAATATTTAAAAGGGACTTGAGCCACTTGAATTGCATCTGGTTAAAAGAAACCTGGCATCAATAACACAAGATGACTCTAAAAAGAAAAGAAAAATGTTAGTGGGAGCAACTTACCCTTGACAGAACTGTGCTTTATTTTTGCACTTCAAAGTAAAAAAAAAGATTTAACCTTACGTGACAACTAAATTGATGCATTCTTTTTATATTGCACATGAAACCTGTGCCAAACAATGCTTTGCACTTCATTAATCACAAGTGGAATTGTAGTGGAGCAGGGTGATCAATGTTGTTCCATTCCATCCCATTCTGCTGCTATTTTTTGTTCCAGATTTTTACCCTTAATTAATTAATCTTCCTTCGCAGGCTCACTGAAGTAATTAAAGTTGGAGTTAAAATGTAGTCTTCCAATTGAATGGATGGAAAAGTCAGATCCTGATAGCCCTTTAACATTTTTGTCCTTTCTGATCATCAGTGTGTCTGTAATTGTGGATTTAGAGAGTGAGATTGACGCTCTGACACAATGTGGAGGTGTTTCAAGATTAGAGTTACTGCTGTCTTGTGAATATCTGAATAAATATATCCCCAATAAATATCAGAATCTTATTTTATAAAATAATCTTGATATTTTTCTTAAATAATAATCTTTTAATCAAAATCAGATCTTTTAGTCTACTAGTAAATCTTTTAGCAAAAATAAAACCTTACAGCACTTATCGAATGACGTGATGAGAAAATCACATATCAAATTTCGGGTAAAAACACATACTGCGGTTGCCAGTCAAATTAACATGACATTCTGTAAAGCTATTAGGCAAGTCTTGAAAGCTGTCCTGCCTTTTTTTGCTTTTAAAGTATGCCTTCACTTTTGCTGGTTGAGATATGAAATCATTTGGAGAATTCTGACCTCTGCTAAAAAAAAACAAAATAGCATTTAGCAGCAAATATAAATGTTGGGTCTGGAGAAGTGCTTAGCTAATGAATGATTTGGCTAATCGCAAACCCCCCCATACCTTGATTGCCATACAGTACCTTAAGGTTTGAATGTTTTGAGGCCCTGATGTAGGCTGGGGGGTCTACAGGAGGATGAAGGCCTAAGTTATATAGTCAAGCACTGGCTGACAGGGCCTAAGGAGTTGGTGTAGATTTAAAAAAATTAACCTCTCAAATGCAAGAAAAGAAGCTGGATTTGTGGTCGGACTGGGGCGGACAGCTCAGAAGCTGCTTGACAGCTTGTAGAAACTGTCTCCCCACCGGCCTGAGCTTGATCGAGTCTGCTAGCTGTTGGTCCTTTTAAACAGATCCTTCAAACTAGGCTGAGCTCCCTTTTAAATGGGCTGGTTGGCGTTCTGTACTCCGTTGTGGCACTGACTGCCTCCTCCTGTTGTATGTGACTCACCTCTTGGCTTCTCTGTCAGGCTGACATGCTCTTCTCCACCCCTGTCATTAGCTGGGTTCTGCATGCTCTTGCGGTTCTTTCTGTCCATTGTTTCTTTAATGTTATTTCAAAGCTAGACCTTTTTTTCCCTTCTCCTTTCTCCTTTTTTTAACACCATGGCTGCACTTGTCTGAGCACAAAGAGAGCAAATCATTTATTTTTCTTTGCTTTATTTGTTGGGTTGGTTTCTTTACTTTCTTAGTCATAGGACAATAGCACATTACTAAAGAGCCATTGTCTTCTTCCCATTTTGCTCTCCAGTGTGGAGATTTTTTTTCTTTTATTCTTTTTATTTTTTGAAATATTGCATACCTGTCACTGATTGAAATTAAAGGTAGGTACTGGTCTGCCTACGCACGTACATATCTATGCCGATGAGCCTGTTGAAAGCACCCTAGCTTGACTTCAATGTTTTTATTAATTTTTTAAAATAATCATTCAGTGTTTTTTTTTTCAATTTTCATTTACTGATTTTTTTGTTCCTTTTTTTTCCGACTCATACCAGTCCAGTCCCCTCCTCCTCTCCCAACTCAAATAATCCTCTTCATCTTTTCAGTTGGTAGAATGCATACCTGTGTGTTTAGCATTTTTCCTGTTCTTCTGTGAATGGTATATCCATTTTTCTTATATTTCTTTTCATGTTCTGTAACAGCTGTTCTGATAACTGTCATTGGCGTTAGTGGTTGTTTGCTTTTCCTCTAGTTTTAGCAAATCAACATAAATTTGGGAGGAGGGGGGGGGCGATTTAATTTTTTTGAATCCAACAGTTTTACACAGTAGAGACACTTTGTGTTGACCCTCCACTCCACTGCCCCTCACACCCACACGCCACCCCAGCAGTGATGAACGCCTACATTCTTGACAGAGGATGGGTTGCATGAGATGACTTGATATTGCTTTCCACTGTGTACTGAAATATTATCTGGGAAGGTACTCATCACCTTTGACCTTTTATTCACCGTGCATAAGCACACACCTCAATGCCTCATACTCACTCTCCTCACTCCCCATTCTTGCTCCCTCCCCAGTCCTGCGAACGTGCATCAGCAGAAGCACTATATTTTTTTCCCTAGAACTTACAAAAACAGGTACTGTACATCCTGACATCAGACAGATAAATAGGCTACATCTTAAGTTTAACAGCTCGTCAGGATTCATATTTGATCATTTAGCTTCCGGGATACAATCTCATATAATTGCATCATAAGTCAGCTTGGCTTTACTGTGATTTTACGGTGATAATGGTCATGGTGATTGCTATTAGATATTATTAGAAGATCCTGTGCTACAGGGGTAAATACCGATACAGCGCACTACAAGCACTTATACAGTTTTTAATCAATACAGGGAAGGTTTACACATATAGTGTTTTTGTTCTAAAATAAATGGCCACAGATCTTCATAAAACATTAGGGCAAGCTTTGTTCGTCTCCGAATAGTTTTGTTTTTCACATAATCCCAAAAGTGAGCCACAGGGAGCTCTTTTACATGGAGGTCATAACAGAAAGCAAAAGGAAGTAGTTACCATTTAGCGTCCCAGACGTGGGCTGTGATGTTAAGTGTCAGATTTGCAAAATGAGCCAAAGCATATCAAAGCATGACAGAGCCTTTGAAGATGAAGCTGCATGACCTTTTGAGCTTATCGTTGTCTTCAGACCCTGTTCAACGCTCAGGCGGCTCGTCAGATAGGCAGAAATCAGCCTCCAGGATGGGTTTTGACTCCACTGCTGTTGAGGGCAATGAAGTGAAAGTTTCAGCAACTCGCTCAGTCAGTTCAGTTCTCCCAGGAGGGACATATGTAAGAAAAGTAACAGCCGTTTTCCTCTTAGTACTTTCAGCCAGTGGGAATACTGCATGCAAAACTCTGCCCCCTAGTGCACATTCAGATTGATGGGTCTGAAGGAGTCTATCACTTCAGAGGGACATAGAGCAGGGAGATCATTTCATGTGTGTGTTACCAAATTCATCTTGTTCATGTTTGTGAAGATTGCCCACCACCTAGGGTGCTCACCTGCACATGATGCTGGGAATCAGGAGGCCATGTTGTTTCTAAGCCCTAATGTGTAGGAACACATAGAGGTTAATTCCCCGTTGCAAAATCAAAAGAAAAGCACAGAGTTTTGGCTGTGGAGCCTTCCTCAGATGTGCACCAGTGGAAACATTGTGTTTTTCTTTTGGCTTTGCAGCTGGCATGCCAGTGCAGCTCCCCACTCTATTCTGATGCATTTATTTCAGTAAATTATGTTCAAAATATTTAAAAGGTCAGAAGGTGATGGGAGTGGTTCTGTCATTTGTAGGTGAGAGAAAAGTGTTTTCTTTTGCTGTTTTGCTCACGCCATTATTCGATCAGGGTTCCAGGAAGCTCCTTTCTTTCTGTTCAATCCAAAACAAGCTAAAGCCAATTGCAGAGCTCAGGGTTCTGAAACACAGCTCCTGTGAAAGATGCTTGACTCTCATGTGCTCTTCACTGGCACGCACGCCAACTCAACTGTCATTGTGTCGTGAAAAGCGAGCTGGATTTGAAGAAAACCAGGAGCTCCCGTTAGAGACTGGTGAACACAGTGTTCCCCAAGCAGAGAGCTAGTGAGATTGTAGTGATTAGGGACAATGTTGCCCAACCAGTAAAGCTGTTGTAAAAAGCTGTTTCTTTTTTATTCTGCTACTTATTTTTATATACTGAAAGGTATTAAAATACAACAAAGGTATTGGTTTTAAAGCCTCTCTGCATGTATTCATATATCTGCAGCAATTGTTTAATATGGCCAGGTCTTAGTTAGGTTTTGCCCTGCAAACAGCTTTGTTTGCTGTTTCACAGTTTAAGTCAGGGAAGCAGATTTGAAAATTATCGCTTCTTTGAAGATAAACATATCGGTGCATTAACCTACTACCTCAATTACAAAATCACAGTGGCTCGGTTTACTCCCAGCTAATAATCGCGTTTTAAATGGAGGTTTTGTCACCTAACAGTGAACAAATGTGTTCCAAGGCCAGAACAAAAACTGAAAAAGAATCAAAAGTGTTCATTTTGAATATAAAAATAAAAAAAGCAGAAACCAAATTAAGAGCACATGAGTGTCATTCATTTTTTTTTTGGCTGTCAGTCCCACAGAAGGTAATTTGTAATCAGAAGGGCGCTCTGCAGGAGCAGGAGAGCTAACCACTGTGGGCTCATAGACTCCCATGATGCACTGGTCTCCACTCAATAGCCCCCTTCCCCCCTCCGAGAAAAGGATCTTCTGCCTCCAGAAAAGAAGGTGTGGTTTGGCCAGCGAATCTAGTGTGAGAGCTCCTTGCACATTGTGATTTTATTTTTTTCATGCATTGTTCATGCAATCACTACCAGGGAAGGGTTTTGTGTCTTTTTCTCTTGCATTTTGTGACTCTAATGATGAACTTATGTTGCCCCACTTTTCCCTTTTCTTCATACCTTACCTACTAAAGGAGGGAAAACCACTTTATTGGTAAGTGGATGTTAACCAAAAGGGAGTTAAAAAAACGTAAAAGTTTTTAAAAAATGGGTCGCTGTTCACATCTCCGCAGTTCTCTGCAGGAAAAAAAAAGCCACAAGCAAATACTATTGAGTAAAAAACTGTTTTTGATTTGATTGATTATTATTATATTTGTGGATCTTTATTTTTTTCCTTCCATTTCTGTGATGTTCGGTCAAGTTGTCTTCCTTTTAATTTTTGTTTTCTTAATCATTATGAACTGAAAAAAAAGTTCTCTGTCTTCATTTTTTATTTGAAATATCCATTTTCTTTCTCTACTTTTTCACTGCCTTCTACTCTCCTCTTTTTCTTGTTTTAATTTAATTCTGATTTGTTGTTTTCTTTCTCTGCCTTTTCCTTTCGGGTTTATGATTTTTTTGACTCATTTTAATTTTGCATGACAAGTATTGCATGTACTGCACCTTAGAGGACTGTCTATAAGCCTATAACAAATTTTAGATCTTGTTTCATTTAGATATAAGATTGGAATCTAAGCCATGCATGGCCACGCTTTTCTAAGGCCATTCTTGTCTTTCTTTTTTTCTTCTTATCGTCTCTCTGCAGAAGTCTAAACCAACGCCAGCTTCCCCAAGTGTGCAGGCCTCCGCGTCACCAGAACCAAAAGAGGCCAAGGCCAAGACTGTCAGCCGCAGTCCCAGCAGGCTGCTGGCCACCCCTGGAGAGGCCAGGGCAGGCGATGAGAGGTACCAGGGCAGGCAGAGGTCTCGGTCAGCCTCCGTGTGCAAGCGTGTCAGCCGGCAGAGAGTGACCAGCACCGCCCCACACTCGCCCAAGCACACGGGCTGCAGCAGCGACTCGGGACACTCCCAGCACAGCCAGTCGCTGAGGGACAAAAGCACACAGCCAAGAAAGTAAGTGGTACGCAATTACCTGCCCCACTACTGCTGCCCAGTCAGCCCACAGTCCACAGCACAGGTCAGTGCTGCCCAGTCAGCCCACAGTCCACAGCGTTCCCCAAGACATGTACATTTGTGCCACTTCCAGCTCAGAGCCCCAGACTCACTAGAAGTTTTTCTTCTTATGGAAGCTCTGCTCTATTTCCATTTCTCATTTCTTTTTGACATACAGTATTCTGGATTAAATAAAAATGTTGACCTACCTGCCAAGCCTGCGAGTTACATAGCAGCTCTTGATGGGCTGATCCCGTCAGTGGAGAAGGAATCAGCCCCTGGCAAAGGGAAAGGCTAGCTTCAAGCACTGGGTTTGTAGTTTGTGATTGCTGGTACAGGAGGTCACGTTTTTGACTGGAGAGTATACCTTAATGCTTGCTCTAAAATTGGTTTTATCTGGCTCTGAGAAGGTGAGATTTAAAGGCTGGCCCTTTAATCCCTTTATGGAATAAAGGGGAGTAATCTGCCATCCTGAAGCTTAGCCTGCAGGCCTGTGTCCCTGGGTCTCTCCCGCTTTTGTGTCTCTGCCAAGAGGACAATAGATCTTTTCCTCAGCCGAACTGACAGTCAGTGTGGTGTTGCGGAGGAAATCTGCCCTGGTCAGGTTACCGTCCGCAGCTTGTTTA